TGCCCTTACCCCAAATTGGCTTCTGCTAAGTATGTTCTTGTGGCTTATAGTGTGGGAGCCATTTAATTTTCCTCCATCATTTTACTTTCTCAAGTGTGGCTTTGTGATCACAATTATTTTATTAGCCTCATGATTACCTACATGCATGCTCTGCATAATTATCTCTTTGAATTTTGCTTCAAAATCAAGCCTTCCTTCTGTAGAGTTGCATGTGTTCACATTTTTTATGATTTATCTATGCCATCTTAGTGTTTCTAGAGACCCACACCTCCCATGTTACAACGGAAAATAATTGCACCCTTGCAACGGAATTTTCATATGCTGCAAATGTTATGAAAAGAGAAGATAAAATTGTAAAATCATATACAGTGGAATTGAAAGTATGGAAGGCACCTATTAACTTTTTATTATCAGTCTCATTACAACCAGGGCTTCTACCGTAAAAAATTGCTGGGGTTTTTTTGTTTTTGTTTTAATTACTTCACTCACTTTGGCATTGCTGATCATTCCTGGGTGGGCACCCTGCCCAGGCTGAGCCAGTTGAAGTCCTTCTCCTGGAAAATCAATCTGCTCAGTCATGTATTGGCGGTCTCACTAGAAGGATGTGCAAAATAAGTAATGCTTTCTTGTTTCAGTGTATGTGCTAGTCTTGAACATACAGATGTATTACATTTGAAGAAACTCTAGTTGCATAATGATTATGCCTTGGGCTGCTAACCACAAGATCAGCAGTTTGAAACCACCAGCTGCTCCATGGGAGAAAGATGAGTCATTCTATTCCCATAAGGAGTTACAGTCTCGGAAACCCACAGGGACAGTTCTACCGTGTCCTATAGGGTTGCTATGAGTTGAGCTGGAATTGACTCAATGGTAACATGTTTTCTTTCTTTCTTTCTCTCTTTCTTTCTTTGAGCAGAGAGGAGGCATTAGAAAGTGTCTTTATGTTGTTTGAGTCTCTGGTGCGAATGATTCCTACAATCCCCTTACATTTCTGACCCTAGTTTTCTGAGGTGCTCCAGGGTTTTTCTATACAAAATTTCCTTGTTAGCTCCAGATAGTTCAATTTGATTTCTGTGAGAAGTATACGGGCAGCTGTGACCTGCTTCCCATGTGCTGCAAGAGAGCCTGAGCAGATGCACAGACTAGAAGGACTGCTTGTCAAGGGGAGTCTCTTTGCACGTCACTGGCAATCTGCGCATCCGGTCTGTTTCCATAGTCACATTCTAATTCGTGGCATCCTGCCTGGGCTCTCGGCTCTGCCCCTCCACTCCCTCCACATGCAGCTGCCAAATCCATCTTCCAAAAGCAGGACTCTGGCTGTGCGTCCCTGTCCCACTTAACAATCTTCAGTGGCTCTCCATCTCCTGCCAAAATATTAACTGCAAGCATTTCAACCTGATTTCCGTGACCGCAGCCTAACTTTCTGAGTACTAATATTTTTAAACCAGGAGGGCTGTTTGCTATTCTCCATACATCTTGGCATGTTTCTGGTTTCTGCCTTCTGTCCTCAGCCACACTCCCTCCTGTTCTTTGCTTCTCAATAGCTTGACGTCCCCCAAGGCCTGCCTCCAGGATGCTTGCTCCCTGGAATCGTCCCTGTTTTCTCTTCCAGTTGAATACACACCGCCTCTGAATCTCCAGAGCACTTGGCCCTTCTCCACTCCCTCCACTTTGCATTCCAGTGATCTACTTCCCTTTGTGGCTGTTCACCAAAAAGGTTGCTGGTTCAACCAGCAGCTCCTGGGAGAAAGATATGTCTGTCTGTTTCTGTAAGGATGATACCTTTGGAACCCCAATGGGGCAGTTCTACTTTGTCCCACAGGATCACTGTGTGTCCGAATGGGCTCAAGAACAACGAGTTTGAAGTTTTTTTGCTGTCTATCACACAATTGTAAAGCAATAAATATATTTCGAGTGCAATAGACATAGTCCTTTAACCTTTTTTAGAGAAAAGCTTCCAACGTCATATGGTTTACAATGGTAGAACGTATTTATTTTCATTATGGTGATAAAAAGTATAACAGATCATTTACCAATTCAGCATGAAACACAAATATTTTAATTTGGATACCATAAAACAGGAGCTCCCAGCCATCTCCTGAGAAGTAGTTTTGGTTTTCTACCACATGATAGGATTGTGGGGAGCTGAGTGGTGGGGTGGGTAGTAGGGCTGGGTACTGGGGAGTTGGGAGGATTAGCCATCAACAGGGGAAGGAGCTTGGCAGCAGCTGTCAGCCTAAAAGATCTTCATGCTGAGAGTGATGTGACTTCCTATGAAAGCCCTGAGGGCTCTAAGCATAGACAGCTTCTGCTGCGGAACAATAAGAAGCCATCATTGCTTCCTGCCAGCAGGACTGGTATCTATAACATCTGGGTTAGAGTAGTGTTCAAATTCTCACAGCTGTGTGTGGCTGGGGTGGCAGCTGTGTATCAAAATCTTTAGCGAGAATTGTCCCCTGTGATCCTGATTTACCCCTCCTCTGCAGTGATTCTTTCACTGCACCACCACCACCCCCGCCCCACCTCTTCCTACTGGTAATCCATCATCCCTATTGGATCATACTCAAACTTCAAGCCTTTGAGAAGTTCCAGGGCTTATTTCTTTGAAATACTAAGAGCAAATGGATAAAGTCGGGGGTTTAGTCACCTCCTGAAGCAGCCATGGGCCAGTGAGGCCAGGTTCAGAAGCACTGTGCTCTGTGAGTGCTGGGTTCCCAGAGACCTGGGACTTGGCCTTAGGCTGGCTCAGCGCTGAGGCAGATGGAGCATCTCTCCCTGTGGGCAACAAGAGTGAGCTCCTAGTTGGTTGCTCTGTCCTCCATCTGTAGCAACACTTACCAGGTGACTCTTTCATTTACCATTTGTTCCTTCATCCTCAAATCTCTGGATCCTGACACCGTGCCTGTTCTTCAGTGGACCCTTGAGGAATCATATAAAGTGACTGAATAAGCCACCAGGTCTGTACAACCCAGAATGGTCACAGGTGCTACCACCTGCCATTTAAGCTACTCAATTAAATCACCCCTTCTGGAATATTTTTTCTCTTTTGGTGATCTATATTCTTTGTTGTTGTTTTTTAAGATTATTTTATTGGGGCTCTTCCAGCTTTTATAACAATTTATAGATCAATTGTGTCAAGCATATTTTTGTACGTATGTTGCCATCATTTTCTAAACGTTTACTTTCTGTTTGAACCCTTGGCATCAGCTCCTCTTTTTCCCTCCCTCCCTCTTCCTCCCACCCTCGTAACCCCTTGATAAATTATAAATGATTGTTATTTTTATATCTTACACTGACCGCTGTCTCCTTTCACTCACATTTCTATTGTTCGTCCCCCAGCGGGGAGGGGGCTCATGCTTCAATCATTGCAATTGGTTCCTCCTTCTTCCCCTCTTCACCCCACCTTCCTGCTCCCCTGCTGATATCACTACTCTACTCCCATTTCTGTTCCTGGGGGGTTTATCTGACCTGGATTCCCTTTGTCGTGAGCTCTTATCTGTACCAGTGTACGTACATACTCCGTGTAGCCAAAACTGAAGGGCAGGACTAGGGTCATGATAATGGGGAGTGAGGGAACTTCAAAGAACCAGAGAAATATTGTGTGTTTCATCAGTGCTATACTGTGCCCTGGTTCCCTTCCCTGTAACCCTTCTATGAAGGGATGTCCTATTGTCTACAGATGGGTTATAGATCTCTGCTCTGACCCCCCCTTGTTCTCAACAATATGTTCTCTTTTGTTTGTTTTGGGTCTTCTGATGCCTGTTACCTGATCCTGTGGACAACTCTTGATCGCACAGGCTGTTGTGCTTCTTCCATGTGGGCTTGTTGCTCCTCTGCTAAATGGCCGCTTGTTTACCTTCAAGCCTTTAAGACCCCAGATGCTATATCTTTTGATAGCCAGGGTTCTGGAACTCTTTAATCAGACCTAGAACACATTTGGAGCTGGGTAGATGTGTGACCTCTTCAGTTTCCTCTCAAAAATGCCCCAAAGACTATAAACAAACTAAAAAGTCCCTGCCATCGAGCTGATTCAGATTCATTTTAAGTGAAAATTAATTAGTTGATTTTAGAGTTATATATATTGGGAGGAATTTCACAACCCTCTCCAGAGATAATTGGAGTCATGATGTGAAGGGGAGCTTGGGACAGACAGGGTTGGTGAAGGGAGTGAGGGGGTGGTAGAGAGGCCCGGAGCACCCTCTGTCTTCCATTTACAAGTCACTATGTGACTAATAGGTAGTCAAACCAAAAATTGCAATAAAAATGTGAGCAAATGTGATATGCCTTTGGGCATAAACTCCCGGCTGGCGGGTGGGTGGGGTAGGTGGGGGACTAGGACAGCCTTCCTGCCAGCCTCGCAACAGGGGCTTCTCACTCTTTCAAGTCCTCTGTAGGTTTTGATCTCCCAGAGATACTTCCCAGTGGGTCCAGGTGAAGTCTTCATTAGTTAGCTCACTGGCCTATCGAGGTTTCATTAACCTCCTTGTGAAGTATTTCGAGATGTTCAAAATAAAGAGGGGGAAGGGCATGTGTATTTAAAATAATCTTGGATTAATTAAAATGTTTTTTTCTTTTCATGTTTACATTTGGTCATGTGTATGTTACTTACTTGACCTTTGTCTTTGTTACCCAAACCAGCTGTTTGAGTTAGTGTGTGTGTGTGTGTGTGTGTGTGTGTGTGTGTGTTTCCAAGTTTGATCAGATTATCTCTAATCATATACTTGCAAACAAGACCTGTTAATAGAGAATCTATCGATTTTTTTTTTGCTGTGATCAATTTTATTGTGTTGTTGTTTTGCCCCTCCCCTGACTACCCCTGATGGTTCAAATATTCTAGACTTTTATGAGGAGAACATGAAAATAGATCTTCCTAATTCTTTTCATTAATTCTTTTCATTAATATCCTATGAAGAGAGGGTATCTCTAGTATTTTCTGAAAAGAGTTCAAATGTCTTATCTTTCTTTCTTTTTGGTTTTTTTTTTAATTACCAAATTCCAAGCTGGCCAGCTCAGCATCTCTGGAAGGAAAAGGACAACTGAAATTCACTGCAGGACGGTGGAGCCCGCATCACAACTGCACCCAAGTTGCCACAGCAAATGACACCACCCTCCGAGGGTGGGACACTCGGAGCATGAGGTCAGTGACGCCAGGGCCCCACTTCGAATGAGGAGCATGAACCCAAGTCCTGGACTCTTCCTCCCCTTTCTCTCTCTCTCAGCAAACAAATCCAGGACTACAGAGAAGGTGACTTTAAGTCCAAGGCATTGGGGGCACATCGTTTGTTTCTCTTTCTATCACTTTTGTAGAGCATCATAAGTCTTATTTTGTGTCTTTACCCCAAATTAAGCTAGCATGTCCATTCCTGGGGAACCAATGTAGCTCAGTTGATTGTTTAATGTTCCATATTGATATTCTGCAAGTGGTAGCAGTTTGCAATGAAATTAAGATCCGTGTGTATGGGATACATTGTGAGTGAGAGGATGACCATGGGATGTTGTTAGTCTCCATGATTAACGACTAAAAGTTGGCAATCACAGTCCCCTTGATTCAATCTTTTGTAGGTAGTTGTCTTTGACAATTTCAGCTCCTGCAAGATACATGCCTATTGGGTAAGCATATTTTGTCATCTAAGTAATTATATGCAACTACCAACAGTTTTAATGGAACACATAAGAGCGATTTTTCTGTTCCAGTTGTGAGTTTGATAAGCAGAGGAGTGATGGTGTGCATATCTGTTGTCATGGCAACAGAAGCCTGTGCAAGCTTTTTTAAGATACAGTTTATCCCCTCAGCACACCATAATTTATCACTAAGCTGAAAAGACGGATGTCTTGTAATAACCTGTGTTGCCTTTAAGGGTGGGGACACAACTTTAAATTTAGTTTCATAGCTCCTCTGAAATTTCAGGGGCTAATAAATAATCAATTGCCATTTCCTCAGCTTGGCCATATCTGAACAAAGGGTTTATTCAGTTTTATAATCAGATGTCGAGAGCGTAGACTTATGCTATGATGAATATCCTAACTGAAGTCTATTTTCCCGTCTTACGGTTATCTTGTGCAGTGTCCATTGTTCTTTAAAGGGACGGGAGGAAATGTTAGGATCCAGTAGACAAGAAATCCTAAGACTGGCACCACAGACCAGAGGAAGCAAGAAAGAAACCATACCAATGATTGCGTTAGCCGGGCCTGCCTCCAGTTCACTCATCTTGTCCTGTGCTGTGTGTTTGTGATGGCAGGTTGACTTCCACTGGGGGCTGGAACGCAGGAAATGATTGATTGGTTCCTTCTCATCTACGATGATTTCTCCTTTGCTAACAGCACTGGTCTTTATGTGTTCGGGATACATTTGTTTCCATGATAATTTCTGATGCTTTTATTAAAATCTTCCCCACCAGAGCAGACCCAAGTCTTTCAATAAATGCTTAGTGCATGTCTGGCAGAATTTGTCAAAATTTTAATTTTATGCGGTTGCCTCGTGGACTTGGAAAAATCTTAGGATCTTTTTAAAGAGTAGGATTTTTTTCCTAGTACTTTTCAAGTACTACAAAGGTGTAAGACAAAAACCATTGGTTCCAGATTAAATACTAGTTTAAGGATAGAAAACCTGATGTGGGGCCGAGGGAGTGGTGGAAATATATGTGGAAGGAATTGAGTTTATCTACCTTGTAGAACCAAGAAATGTAAAGTCACTTAATACTGGTCTTCAAATATGTGAAAGATAATTACTTGGAACAAAGGTGCCCAGCTGTACACCTTCCCCACTGAAACTGTAAAGAGGGAAGAAATTGAATTACTTGGAGGAGAGATTTAAGTTTCACCCAAGGGAGAGCAGTAGAAGTGGCAGTGTGGCATTAGGCACATAAGGCAGACAGGAAAGATGGTGTTAGACCCCCACCCAAGCCAAGAGCAGACCATGACTGATCCATGAGGTTACAGAGGCCTTTTTATTTACTTTCTAACCACCTGCAACCACTGGCAGGTGACTTGCCCTCCTGTTTTGCATTTACTGGGTAAGTTGTCAGGTACCACGGGGTCAATTCCGCCTCAAAGCAACCCTGTGTTCAACAGAAGGAAACACCACCCATTCGTCCACCCTCCTCACATTCATTCTTCTGCCTGTCTGTGGTGTACTGTCTATGTACTGCACTGCGGTGGCTTGTGTGTCGCTGGGATGCTGGAAGCTATGTCACTGGTATATCAATGCCAGCTGGGTCACACCAATGAACAGACTCCAGCAGAGCTTCCAGAAGAAGAACAGAGTACGAAGAAGAAATCGGCTGACCATTTCGAGGAATTAGCCTCTGGAAACCATACGCATAGCAAGGAAAAATTGTCAGAAAAGAGGTCAGAGGTCATTGCAGTCAGTGAAATAGTCTGATCTCCAACCAAAGAAGGAGCCGCCCAAGTTCTCTTTTGCATGCATTTGTGTGCGTGCACGCACACTGTATGAATATGACTGGGAAGGAAATTTCACCACTCCTCTCTGCCCGTGTTTCCCGTCTTTAGAACGATGTCTTCGAATGTTGACATTCTGAGACAGTACAGATAGATAAAGGACAAATCCAGCCATAACAAACACCAAGACCACCAATTTTTTTTACCAGTTTTATTAGCACCTAATCCACATGCCATACAATTCAATAATTCAGTCATATCAAAAAGAGTTGTACAGTTGTCACCATATTCAAGTCTAGAACTTTTTTCTTCCTTGTGCTCATTGTTATTCATGTAACTTTTTTCTAATTGTGGCAAAAATATACACAACAAAACATTCTCCAATTCCACCACTTCTACTTGTATAATTCAATGCCATTGATTATACTCTTCGTGTTGTACAACTATTATTGATATCCTTTTCCAAATTATTCCACACCATGGACAAAACCTCAGTGGCCCCTGAGCAACACCTCTTTCCCCTACCCCCATCCACCTGTTTTTTCATGACTTCATCCTGTTCTATGTGTACAGATTGTACCTATATCATGTTTCCCTTCCTGTTCTATACATAATCTCCCCATACCAAAAACAACTCTTCTCTTTTCTTACCATATCCTTCCAAAATTTGGTCAGGTGTCCTACCCAAAAGCTGTCTCAGTTTCTCCATGACCTTCACATTCTCCCTGGCACACTCTCATTCTCGGGGTACCCAATCACATTCTTGACCGCTGGAAACTGATTTCAATTCCACAATATGCTCAGAGGATCACAAATACACTTCTGGAAAAACAAGTAGCATGCCTTCCAGTCATTGCAGTCGCTCAGATGAAGGCCGCCAGGCACAGCTGGCATCCTCTGGTATTCGTGGTGCCTGGTGCCCAGCCTCCCCATGAGGGGGAAAGACTCTCCCTGGAAGCCAGGAGTACCCCACTGGGATTTCCCCCAGCTCAGCTGCCAGTGTTAGGATCACTGATATTGCCAGAGCTGTGGTTAAGAGGTTGCTAGGGAGCCAGTGCCTAGCGCAGAGTCCAGGGGCTTTCCCTACTCCATATAACCCTTTCATGCTGCTCTTCTTTCCTTCCTTAGCCAGATATACTGCATTGAAAATGCCCACGGACAGCTGGTACGAGACCTCGACTTTAATCCCAATAAGCAGTACTACTTAGCAAGCTGTGGCGATGACTGTAAGGTGAAGTTCTGGGACACTAGAAATGTCACTGATCCTGTGAAGACTCTTGAGGAGCATTCCCACTGGTAGAGTGACTTCTTTGCATGCTGGTGTAGCGGGAAGGGGGATTATGTAATGCATTTTGCTAATTACCTTTTGAAAGGCACACACTAGCTTACTTTGTTCGGCTGTGAATCCATCAGTCAACCCAGTTTCCAAATCTGGTGTCTGTGATTTATAAACATCGGAGAGAAACGTTAGATTCTGTTTCCTACTGAAACAGTGCTGGTTTGAGTATGCAAAAATAAACGTGCACAGATGTTCACTGCAGCATTGTGTGCAATGTAGGAAAACTGGAAACGGCCCAAATGTCCATCAATAGGGGATTGGTTAAATAAATTAAGTGACATCCATTCAGTGGAGATTATGCAGCTGTCAAAAAGAATGAAGAATATCTATCTGGATCCGCATGGACATGGAAAGATGCCCAAGATCTTCATTCTTTCTAAAATATTATTGGAATGCTTACCATATGCTGGCTTTTGCAAAGCAAGTGAAGGAATAGTCCATTTGTAGAACAGTGTGTATAGTAGGGATCCATTTTTTTTATTAAAATGTGTGTGTGTGTTCGTGTGTGTGTGTGTGTGTGTGTGTGTGTGTGTGTACATGCAGACCCACACACACTCCCCAGTATGCATAGGAAATCTGGAAGAGCAAGAGCCAAACTATAGTCAGCAACCCTCTGAGGCAAGGAGGGGCCGATTATAGCAGACCTTATTGGTCTGCGTGTTTGAATTTTTCTTCAAAATCTATATTGCTTCTGCAATCAAAAAAAAAAAAAACAAGCTAATTAATTGGGGAAACCCCATACATTAGTGCCCAGTTTCAACGAGCAAATGAATTGCTGTCATTGACTGTGATCCATATAGAAGTGGTAAACTGTTCCTCTCAGCTACCCCAGAGGGGTACCCTTCCATGTGCTACGTTTGCACGCACTGTACCCTGGCTCTCTGTGGGCCCTGGAGCCTGCCACTGCTCTCTGGCATTGACTTTGAGGCAGAAGCTGACCAGACTCCCTGGGCATATGTGTGTGTAAGAAAGCAAGCTGGAGTGTAATGACAAAAGCTCAAGGAATAGTCCCAGGAAGACCTGTCACTGCTCGTTTGTCTCGGGACCTATGGCAGCTGTTCATTGGGAAGTTGTCATGAGATTTTGTTTAATATAGCAGGGTAGCTCTAATCCATATTTTGCTTTGGGGGCAGTTTTTGTTTTTTAGAATTGAGAAAGCTTGTCTGGAATATTGAGCAATAAGCCTTCTTTTTCCTCTGAGGGCTTATTCTAACATTTAGTCTTTGCTGTCTCTTGGTTAAGATTTAAGGTAATGTTTTAGAAAAATAAACAATAAACTTAACCCTCTACTGGCAATTACCTCACGTCAGTCTATGTAATTTTGGATTGATCCTACAAAGCCAAACTTTTTCTTGTAGCCCGTCAAATAAGGATCCTCAGATGAACTTGACAATGCAGTTTTAAAAGTACAGACATCATTTCTTTAATAAATCATTTTATTGGGGGCTTATGTATCCAGTGTGTCTTCAGTGATTGTGTTGGGAAGGTTGGCTTCACCCAGTGCCACATATTAGAACCAAGTGTTCTTGTGTTGAGGGAAAACTTAAGTAGAGGGCCAAAGTCCACACACTACCTCAATGTATTCCCATATAAATATTTGTACATAGGCCAGTCCCTCAATTTTTATGTATTAATATATTTACATATGTTTGTATCTCTAAAAATAGTTTTTCTTGCGAGTTCTTGCTTCTATTTCCTTTTATCGTCCTCTTGCCCCACTATCACAATCACCACTCCTTTGCCTCTTAGTAATTCATCTGGCCTAGATTACAGTTACTCCAACACTACCGGGAGCTCTGTATGCTGCTTGCCTTCAATTTTAGATTCCTAGTTGTTCCCCTGTCCATGACGTTATTTGCTCACCGCTCCCTTTCCCCTGCCTCCTCTTCCGCAATAAAATGATTTTTTTTTAATAAATCACATAGCTGACAATGCTCGGATGAAAACGAAGAATATTGTAAGTGAGCACACCAATCAAGAAGCGATATGGAACCATCTTACACAGTTTTAGTGTTATCAGGTGTAATTTAATATTTTTTATTGGTACTTTAAAACTCTTATAACATAATTTAGTTTTGTGTACCTCGTTTAGTGTTCTTATTAAAGTATTAACTGCATGTATTAATAAACTTTTTCAATATAAAGTAAAGTACAGACATCAAATGGTCACTGAAGCGGCAGCGTTGTCTCTGATTTTGGTTGGCAGGGTGTGGAACGTCCGTTACAACCACTCTCACGACCAGCTGGTCCTCACAGGCAGCAGTGACAGCAGAGTCATCCTCTCAAACATGGTGTCCATTTCCTCGGAGCCTTTCGGCCATTTGGTGGACGATGATGACCTCAGTGATCAGGAAGAACACCACCAGGAAGAGAAGTAAGAACAAGCTACTCTTCAAATGTTGGAGTGATTCTGAAAGACCTGAAAATTAACTTTTCTTTTCTCACAAACAATATCTTGATCTAGGCCATTTATCTGAAAAATATTTATTTAAAAAAAGTTGTGGGAACAGGTCCAGCCCGCAGGGGAGTGAGGGGACGGAGTCACCAACCGACGTGTGTGCACAGATTCCAGAGACCAGGCTCTGATGGCGCAGAACTCTTTTATTGTTGTCTTTCAGCAGTTTATATAGGGCATCAGCCAATCAAATGTTACCGCGCTAACTTTCTTGTTCTAAAACTTATCCTCACTCCCAAATCTGAGTCCATTTGCCTGTGCTACTTTGCTTCTAGACCAAGGTGGGGAACCTTTTTTCATTCAAGGGACATTTGGATAGTTATAACATCATTCTTGGGACATACTGATTAAACACTGAATTAACGAACCCCTTACGTGATGGCTGGAACTGCTTCTCTTTGGTGAGGCACGTGATGTTAACCCACACTGATGATTTCATGGGCCTCGGACAGCCCGAGGCTGGACCTCCCCAATCCCTGCTCTAGACAGGATGTGAAAAGCACTAAACCACACTGCATGTTTTAATAGTAACGCCATCTTGGCTGTATATTTTTCAAAAACACTCTTCTATGCCCAATCTCAATAGCATCTACGATTAGAAGATAACTCAGGAAAATATCATCATCACTGTGCTAGACAGGGTTCTCTAGAGAAACAAAACCAAGACACTAATAATTTTATATATATATTTATATAGATAAGTAGATAAATAGATAGATAGATAACATAAGAAATAACCAGTTAATCTATAGAGCAGTACAAATGGCTCAGTGTAACTCACTTCCATGAGACAGCTAGTATATAGGCAGTCCTTCAAGTCTTGAGGGCCGCGGGGTAGTCCTCCATGGAGCAATTCAGGCTATCCGGCCACAGGCAGCAAACGGCAAGCAGGTCACCAACAGTCAGCCAGATGAGAGTCCCCAGCTCAAGAGATGTACATGCCAGTAGTGTGGCGAAATAGGTCTTGAAGGAACCTCAAGTTACAGCGACAGTCCACAGGTTAGGTGTCCCACAGGTAGTGTAGCTTGCAAGGTGAGGCACAGAACAAGCAAGGCAGCCACACACTTCTGATGATCAAAGAGCAAGAGAAAAAGGCAGAGCTCGCCGAGCTATTTATCTCTCTGCCCTTCAACTAATCTCACGCGTTCATTGGCCATGTTGGCACAACAAACCTACCTATCACAATCCACCCCTTGCCAACTTGGCACCTGTGCACAATTCTTTAGCCATATATAATTTCCAGACATTAATGAAATCACACTTACACTTAACATCAGACATCTATCATACATATAAATTAAAACACACTGAATCCAATTGTATCTGGTATATCATACATGAACAAAGAAAAGATATTCAATAAGCACATATAAAGAAAATACACTAACAATCACAAACCTCGCTTTTGCAATTAATCACGTGGTCGTGACTGATAGGTAGAAGTACCTTCTTCTACTACCCATTCTGTATTACCTTTGCCCTCAGCAAGCACCTCAGCTGGCTGTGTTTTTTTTGCCTGGTGGGGTGACCCAGACCTTCATTCCTGAGGGGTCTGGGTCATTATAAGTCCTGTCAGGATTGGGTTGCTGTAATTTACCATTTACTTTAATCACAGGGCAAGATAGCACTAAGAGTCGGCCTATGGGATCTCCTGGATTCCAGACATAGTCTTCTTTACCTCCATTATGTAACACCAGTCCAATTTCTCCTTGGTAATCAGGATCAATCACACCACTCAGTACAGTGATACCCTTCCTGACCTGTTGATCCAAAGGCATGAGAAGCCCAAAGTGACCAGGGGGCATTCTCAGCTGCCAGTTCAGTGGAATTGATGCTGTGTTTCCAGGTGGGAGAGTTCCTTCCTTAGGTACCAGGACCTCCAGGCCTGAGGAACACAGGGTTGCTGGGACAGGAAGCAAAAATGCTGCAAGTGAATCACTGAGAGTGGGTGGTGCCGTTCCAGCTTCCACCCCTTGGTTCCTGGACCCATGAATTCTGGCTATTGGAGATGCAGCACCATATATTGGCCTCTGGTTTAGAGCATATACAGCTTCCTGGAGAACATTGCCCCAGCCCCGCAAGTTGTTGCCACCTAGTTGACGGCGTAATTGTGTCTTTAGGAGCCCGTTCCATCGTTCTGTCAAGCCAGCATTTGCTGTGAAGTGAATTCCTTGATCTGAAGCAATGCTATGTGGGATGGCATGCCGGTGGATGAGGCATTCTGTAAGTCCACTAATGCTAGTTTTGGCAGAAGCATTGCGTGCAGGGAAGGCAAATCCATATCCAGAGTAGGTGTCTATTCCAGTAAGAACAAATTGCTGCCACCTCCATGATGGAAGAGGTCCTATGTAATCAACCTGCCACCAAGTTGCCGGTTGATCTACCCTAGGAATGGTCCCTTATCTTGGACTTAATGTTGGTTTCTGTTGCTGGAAGATGGGGCACTCAACAGTGGCAGTGGCCAAGTCAGCCTTGGTGAGTGGAAGTCCATGTTGCTGTGCCCATGCATAACCTCCATCCCTGCCACCATGTCCACTTTGTTCATGTGCCCATTGGGCGATAACAGGAGTGGCAGAGGAAAGAAGAGGACCAGTCTCCACAATGCGTGTCATCTTATCCACTTGATTGTTAAAGTCCTCCTCTTCAGAGTTAACCCTTTGGTGAGCATTCACATGAGACACGATTATAGCGCCAACTAGGTGGCAACAACTTGTGGGGCTGGGGCAATGTTCTCCAGGAAGTTGGATACACTCTAAACCAGTGGCCAATATATGGTGCTGTTTCTCCAATAGCAAGAATTCATGGGTTTGGGAGTCAGGGCTCCCTGAGGCACATGGGAATTCAGGGACTTACACAAGTCACCTTCCTAGTTATTGATAGAGCAGAGTTGTATCCTGATCTCCTGACTCTTGTCAAGGGCTTTGGCTGTAATCTGAATGAGGACTGATTGCCAGTAATTGTGCAACTTTACTTGTTTCTCTACCCAGGCAGGAAAAATGCAAATAAAGTCCTGTTTCCTTTAGTTAAAAAGCAATTTGCTACTGTGTTTGTTTTGACTCATTGGCAACCAAATGTGAATCAGAATAAAACCATGTGCCCCACAGGGGTATTGATAGCTGATTTTTATGAAGTGGATTACCAGGCCTTTCTTTGGAGGCATTTCTGGGTGCACTCAAACCTCCAACCTTGCCGTTGGCAATAGATTATGTTAACTGTTTGCACCACCCTTGTCAACAATAAAGCACAACCAAAAGCACAACTTGGTGCTGTCTAGTCAATCTGACCCACAGTGATTCCTCAGTAGAACTGTCCCATAGAATTTCCAGGCTGTAATCTTTATAAGAGGAGACTACTACACCTTCCTCCTGTGTAGTGGCTGGTGGGTTTGAACTGCTAGCTCTTCAGTTAGCAGCTAGACACTTGAGCCACTGCTCCCCAGAGCTCCTGCCCACAGCAGGACATAGTAAAAGGAGACATTTCTCTTAAGTAAGTTTGCTCTCACTTGTGGCAAGTGAGTGGGTATTTTTCAGGTCTAATCACAGAGAATTCAAACTCATAATTCCAGGAGGACTTGCTGGAGTGAAATCCAGTTTAATTGAATAGTGTGAGCCCTTCAAAATACAATATGACTTTATCATTCTCTTTTGAGATTCCAAAGTTCTTTCCCTACCTATTTGAGTTTACTCTAAAATTACTTTGTAAGGAATTTTCCATTTGGAACTTTACAATGGTAATTTACTAATTTTGTTCGCCTCTGACCTTAGTTGTTTTTCTGTTCCAATACATAGAAACACAGGTCAATCCAAGAAAAGTATTTAAACTTAATTATAGTGGTTTCAGCTTCACAATCTTCCATTCTGGAAGCTGAACTGTGCCTTTTTTTTACAGTCATCTCAGCACACAGTGAAAGCAGGTGTTCTTAGGTTACTCTCGCTGTCAGGTCTCTATTAGATGAGAAACCTGATCACTCCCTTAATTGGAACCTCTGTAATTAACTGGTGCACTGTCCTCCATGCAGGTGGTTTCAGAGCAGCTGTGTTAGGGAGGACTGAGGCCCTCTCTGGCTGCCAGATATGTCTAAGCATGATTGCACTAAGAGTTCCTCAGCCATCTTGACCCACGTTTCCTGCTTCCATTGTTTGTCTACATACACCAGAGGTACCCCCCCAAATTGGAATTTTCCCCCCAAAGCTATGTATGCATTTAAATTTTTATTGGAAAAAAACCTTATCACCTTTAAAGTACTCTCCATTACACTTAATACATTTGTCAAATCTGCAATTCCATTCCTGGAAACATATTTTGAACGCATCTGTTTGGATGGCTGATAGCATCTCCTTCATTTTTTACCTCGCCTCTTCTACATCATCAGATTGCTGACCTTTTATGTCCCTCTCCATTTGCAGAAACAAAAAGAAGTTGCATGGAAGGTAGGGTGAGTAAGGTTTGTAGGGCATGAGAGGCATGCTGTTTTTTGCCAAAAACTGATGCACTGAGATGGCTGTGTGAGCAGGTGCATTGTTGTGGTGGCAAAACCACAAATAAGGCCTTTTTGTTGCACACTGTTACACAATCTTTTCAGAACCTCTAAATAGAAAGCTTGATTAACAGTCTGACCTGGTGGAACAAACTCCAAATGAACTACAAGTTGACATTTTCTTCCGTTTGCGAAGCTCATAGACATCCACAATGAGGTTTGTCATCGATCCACATTTCACCTTTGTTGAAACGAGAAAACCACTCATACACTTGAGTTTTTCCCATAGTGTTGTCCTTATAAGCTGTATTCAACACCACAATAGTTTCTGCGGCATTTTTCCCCAGCAAGAAACAAAATTTCACAGCCACATGCTGGTCTCTTAAATCGGCCATCTCAAAAAAATGAAGTTCGAGCAAAACTGCTTTTACAAAACAATTCACAGTAACTAAAGAGAACCTTCGCAGATTATGCCACCAGGTACACTAATTCAGAGCGAGTTGCTCGATGTTCGCTTAGCATGAAAAATGTGTACTATGAACAAAATGTGCACTATGAAAACTCCACTCAGCCCAGCACAATTCTGATTTTGGGGGGGTACTCCCTCATATTTTATAAATTTCAGATAAAAGGAAACACCCACATTGCAAAGTTCTTTGTGCATTGACGCATCTGCTGACTGGCTGATAGGTCCATTTATTGGGAAGATCAGAAGTCAGTGGAGGGTTCCTCAGGCTTTATCAGAACACAAAGCTGAACCCTAATATTGCCTTGTTGGAGAGATAAAGCATTCTGCTAAGAAATTCAAATGTACATATAATACAATTAGTGAGAAGAAATATTTTGTAAAATGGGAAGTAAGGTGCAGAAGAAACAAGCAAACCAAAAAGCCCGCTCCACTCTGGGAGCATGTCTTCATTAGGCCGGGTAGGAGAGGGCTCTATGCCTCACTTTCAAATACTGATGGGCTGAGACAGGCTGTGATTCCTCAATGACTTACAGCTAAGACAGAGATGTGTGCTGGTTCGCGTGGTAGAATTCCTAGAGAAGGTAAATGTCACCCAGGAAAGGTGAAGGTGGAAAAGCAGGGTTCTAAAGGAGAGACACTGTAAGGCTGGCGTTGGACCCACGCTGGCTGTGTCCTCCCTTTCACCCTCACCCGCAAGCACAGAGCATCCTCTCTGGCTTGTGGCAGCTCCTGGTTCTCAGACCAGACCAAGCTCTGCACCAACTCCTCCCCTCTCCAGTCCTGAGCAGACTCTGCAGGTTCCTGGGACCTCAGACTCGTTTGCACAGAGTGTGGCCTAGTGGATCTCTGAGGTCCTTTGTGCTCAAAAGTGAAAAGGTTTTTGAAATCCTTTTGAAAATTCAGGCACCGTGAACATTACCCCTCCCATCACTTTCCCTGAATTCTAATGACCTGACAAGCCAAGTGTTCTTAGACCCAAACTTATTTGGCCTACTGCTCCCTTCCTTGTGGGAGGAGTGGGGGGTGGGAGTAATCCGGGCCCTTCTGGCAGTTAAAAACTTGTACTAACGCTGATTATCCAGGATAAACTATAGCTACATGCTTTTTCAATCCCCGGGATCATTTCAGTACCCCCAGGGAACACTAGCACCCACTTCGGGAAACTGGTCCAGCGGTTCTCAACCTGTGGTCCACGCCCCTTTGGGGGTCAAGTGACCCTTTCACAGGGGTCGTCCAATTCATAACATTAATAAAATTACAGTTATGAAATAGCAATGAGAATAATTTTATGTTCTGGGGGCCACCAAACCATGAGGAACTGTATTAAAGTGTTGCAGCATTAGGAAGGTTAAGAACCATTAGACAATAACACTGATTTCCGCAAACCACTCAAGAAGGCCCCATTTCTTTATGGCTGTAGTAAAAGTTTCTGTGCTTTTACTTGAATGACTTATTGGGCCTCAATCTAGTTTGCTGTAATTACTCCCAGCGTGCAGGTGAGAAAGCTGAGGCTAAGGAGCTGGACTCCATTTCTTCCGTCAAGAGATCTCATGTCTTTTCTGCCACCCAGCCATGCCCTATTTTGTGGGATGCCATGGTGACTGAACTTTACCCCAGGCAGCTGCACTCTGTGGTTGCAATGCCCTTGTCGATGCGTGCCTGCCTGTTAATGTCTGTGTGTCGCTTGGATTCTAGGAAGAAGGAGCCTCTCCAGGACAGCGTCATCGCAACCTACGAAGAGCACGAAGACAGTGTTTACGCCGTGGACTGGTCGTCTGCGGACCCGTGGCTGTTTGCCTCCTTAAGTTATGACGGAAGACTTGTCATTAACAGAGTTCCCAGAGCGCTGAAATATCACATATTGCTCTAATGTGTTTGGATGGCATTCCTGATTTATCCTCTTGACAGATTCTCAAAATTTTGCAGCTATTTGGAGGTAATTAGTCTCCCAAATAGATCCCTCTCTGGGAGAACCAATATTCCCATTTTTTTTTAATGCAAGAATTTTTGAATAATAATAAAGCTTCGGCCGATTGTATAAACTGACACCTTAAAGCAACGTTTTCTCCATCAAAGATCGAAAATGTTAACTTTCAAACCGTTCTGGGAATATCCCTTTGCCCCCTCCTGCCCTTTCCTATGTAAATCAGAACCTGTCCAACCACTTCATCTTTCCTGCCGTAACACAGTGAGGGTTTCACCTTTAAGAAAAATTTTCTGGTTCTATAACATTAACTCATCTTTGCCCTGAGATTAAAGAGGAAACAAAATAAATAAGGTCATGCTGCTCAGACTCCTGGATTATTCATTCTGTAAGGAAACCCTGCCCTTCCTTTGACCATTCCACCCGGGTATTTGTTCATGTTTTCTGTCCCAGCCCAGAAAAATGGAAGGTTATTGAGAGTGTGTGCCGCTCCGAACTGCCGCACTTGTCTCAGAGCTCAGAACTTCCAGAGTAAGCTTTGCTGGCTGTGGCTGAGCAGGCACTGCCCTTGTCCCCCAGGCTCACCCCACTGTCCGTGCTCTCTGGCGCGGCAGCTGGGGGGTAGAGTCTTGGGACTCTAGGAATGTATTAGTGATGAACATTGCATTTTCTCTTGTTATTAAGTTTCCTGTTCAGCCTTTGGGCCTGCTCTAATCTCTTTGTGTATCATTCTGTATTGTCTCATGTGCATTATGCTGATGGCATTGTAAATGTGGCTCTTTATCATTCCAGGAAGTAATGATTATGCTCCCGGTCTCTCAGTCTGTTGGGTATTACCCAGCATACCCCTACACTCATTGAAATTCAACATAATCTGCTATCATCCCATCATTCCTAGATAATCACAAAGCACTGATCATGCACCCTTTTCATCCTTTGCTCCTTCTCTGGGGCCGAGTGTGGAGAGAGAGTCTGCTTTGTCTGCCGCTGCTCAGAGCAGCAACCCAGCAGAGCACAGCAAGGCCAGGGTTCTGATTCTGGGGCTGGACAGGCAACCTTGCAGAGGATACCTCTTCTCTCTAACACCCCCAATTTCCTCACCTAGAATGTGGGAGAAGGATTGGAAGCCCTCATAGTCCCTCATAGTCAGCACTCAAACTCAACTCACTGCCATTGAATCCATGCTGACTCATAGAGACCCTATAGGATGGGGTAGAATAGTCTGTCACTCTTCATGGGCATAGAAACCCCCCATCTTTCTTCTAAGGAGCTGGCTGGTGGTTTTGAACTGCTGGCCTTGCATTAAGCCACCAGTCAGCACTAAGATGTGATTGTTCGGAAATAGGCCTATTAACCAGTTCCAGCCAATCTGAGGGACATGGCTGAAACGTGTTCTGTGAAGATTTACAGGCTTGGAAACCCTCTGGAACGTTCTCCTCAGTCCCGTGGCTCTCTAGACTCAATGATAGACAATCACGGCCTCCGCCTGAAGAACTGACCTTTAATTGAAAAAGAAACCTAAAAAATTAAGCCTTCTTGATGAAGCCCTCCATCGTCCCAGGAGTGTTTGTTTGTATGTTATTTTCGAAGCACAGAATGATACATCCTGGATTTCGTTTCTCCTTAGGAGGCATGAGAGCTCACTGAGGCAAGGAAGGGTAAGTAGTAGGGAAGGGTGCAGGACGGGAGAGCAAATCTCAAGCCCTACAACATTTTTTACTTCCTCACAATCGGCATGATGGGGAGGCCAAAACAGCTCCACTGAACGTCCACGCTTCAGTGGTACTTGTAAGAAAATATATGCTTTTATTGAAGTCTTTACTGAGTTCCTGGCTATGTGTCAGGGACTGTTCTAGTTGCTACAAGTATGGCAGTAAATAATGCCAGCACCATGGTTTGCATGGAGTCTATGCTCTCATTGAAGAAACCACCTGTTAATCACAGAGTAAACGTCACTCACATGTTCCTACAGAAGCCTCTTGGCACAATAAACCTAACTCTCGCCAATGGCATGAGCCAGATGACAAGTGCATTCAGAGATAAGGCTCTGTTCATGTACGGCCCCAAAGGACTTAGTTGTCTGTTTGAGAATGTCTCATATATGAATCCTCAGAATACATGACCTCTTCAGTGTGGTCTTGTAGCGTAATGGCTGAGTTGTGGTATGCATCAACAGTTTGTTCCTTTTTAATTAAGTGAGTGACATCATGTTTATGGCTGTGGACAGAGCTGCGTCTAGGCCTTTGCAGAAAAAGTCTACTAGCCCCTGTTCGTCGGAAGTAAGTACCTACAAGCAGGATTGATGTGTCCTGTGGTAAGTGTACCTTTAACTTGATAAGAAAGTGCATGCTGTTTTCCAGAGTAGAGGGACAATTTTGAATTCCCACCAGCAGTATATGAGTGATCCCATTTTTCTACATCATTGCCCAAACATGATGTTTTCAGTATTTAAAATTTTAATTCTCTAGTAGGTACGTGAGATGGCTTAAATTTATATATATCTATAACACAATATTTTTTTAAAGTGTTTAAAAGCAAGGGTGTTACTTTGAGGACTAAAGTACCCCTGATCCAAGCCATCACATTTTCATTCACCTCATATGTGTGTGAAAGTTGGACACAATAAAAAAGACTGAAGAAAACTCATGCTTGTGAACTATGTTGTTCGTGAAGAATATCGAAAGTATCACGGATGGCCAAAAGAGCAAACAAATCTGTCTTGGAAGAAGTACAGTTAGAAGGTTCCTTAGAGGCAAGGATAGTGAGACTTTGTCTCATGTACTTTGGACATATAAGGGGAAACTAGTCCCTGGAGAAGGACACCATGCTTGGTAAAATAGAGGGGCAGCCAAAAAAGGAAGGCCCTGAACAAGATTGATTGACACAGTGGCTGCATCAATTGGCTGAAACATAAGAACAATTGTGAGGAGGGCACAGAACTGGGTGTTGTTTCATTCTGTTGTACATCAGGTTGGAACTAACTCGAATCGGGCTCCTGTGGGAATCTGGCTCCAGCAGGTCTGTGGACCCTTGATGGTGTAATAGTCACACATGCTACTAAAAGGCCAGCAGTTCAAAACCACCAGCCATTAGGCAAGGGAAAGATACAGATTTCTACTCCCTTAAAGTTACAGTCTTGGAAGCCCTCAGGGGCAGTTCTACCCTGTCCTGTAGAGTCAATAAGACCATTAGTAGGCCACTGGAGATCCCTTGCAGAGGGGTCTTGGGGAGGAGACGAGCCAGTCAGGGTGTGATGTAGCAACGATGAAAAATACAACTTTCCTCTGGTTCCTAAATGCTTCCTCCCTGCCCCCACTATCATGACACAAATTCTACCTTGCAAGTCTGGTTAGGTAGAATGTACACTGGTACAGATAGGAACTGGAAATACAGGGAATCCAGGGCGGATGAGCCCTACAGGACCAGTGGTGTGAGTGGCAATACTGGGAGGGTAGAGGGAGAGTGGGTTGGAAAGAGGGAACCGATTACAAGGAACTATATGTGACCTCCTCCCTGGGGGACAGACAACAGAAAAGTGGGTGAAGGGAGACGTCGGACAGGGCAAGATAGGACAAAGTAATAATTTATAAATTATCAAGGACTCATGAGGAAGGGGGGAGCAGGGAGGGAGGGGAAATTAAGGACCTAATGCCGGGGGCTTAAGTGGAGAGGAAATGTTTTGAGAATGACGAGGGAAATGAGTGTACAAATGTGCTTTACACAATTGATGTATGTATGGATTGGGATAAGAGTTGTATGAGCCCCTAATAAAATGATTTTTTAAAAAAAGATCAACATACAGGAAAAAAATGTTGAATTTGACTCGAAGGCAGTGAGTTTGAGTTAATAAATTTGTAAGATGTAGTCAGCTAATATGGCCCCTCTAGCTATAATTCATTATGTGATGTATTATAATTCTGGACTCTGCTGGTGGAGGGCATTCTCTGTTATGCTAATGGGCAGGATTAAAGTGGGATTCCGTTTCTAAGAGGAGCAAATGAACCATGTTACACCATTGCATGGGCATGATCTGCCAGAAGACAAAAGCTATCCCCCAAAGTCAATCCGCTGTATAGGAGCCATCTCTGACCAAAAAAGATACTCACAACCACAGGAAGAGCACATTTGGATTCTCCCGTCTAAAGTGGTGGAAGCTGAGACCAGAAGCAGCAGAGGCTGTGGCACAAAGACAACGGGACAGGCCAACGCCAGCACTGCCCAAGCTGTGAGACTGCAAGACAGCAGTAGACAGGCTTCCTGGCCCACAGGAGCGGAGACCAGGGGACTATGTGGCTGGGAGTCTGAGGACAAGACAGACACGTGGTTGCTGGTTGAGGAGAGGTGTTGTGGGCCAATGACTCTATCCTTACTGTGTACTGATCCTGACTTGTGGTAACCTGGTAACTCCTAGTAAACCCTGTTCATCGGGACTATTGTCTGTGAGTTCTTTGTGGCCGGTGCAATGCATTATGGAACCTCGTGCAGACGTAGAATGACGGAGGCGGAGTGGCTGAGGATGGAGCATGGAAGCGTGTCTGAGCCCTGTCTCATGGTAATAGGGACACTAGAGGAGGCCACATAGGGTCTCCTCTTCCTCACCATTTATACAATATGGCAATAGTATCTCACTGTGGTTTTAAAGTGTGTTACTCTCATGGCTAATGACATTGAGCAATTCTAGTGAATTTTTCATGTATTTTGATATAAATCCCGAGGCACGTGACTCTGAAAGATGTTCTGTTATTTAGCCTCTCAATTCTCTTAACACTGCCTTTCACAGAGCAGAAAGTTTGCATTGGGAAGTCAAATGTATCCACTTTTTTCTTTTTTTAAAAAAATTATTATTATTTGGGAGTTAATAGATATATCATTCCATAGTTCAATCGCGTCAAGCGGAGTGGTACAGTTGCTACCACAATCCGTTGCCAAACATTCTTGTTCTTCCTGAACTCCTTGGCATCAGCTCCCTTTTACCCATACCACCACCCTGCCCGCCGAAACCTTATTCTACTTGCTGTCCCTATAGGTTCCTCAATCCTGGGTGTCTTATACCAAATAACAGAAAAGCATATGACACAACTTCAAGAGAGTGACCTTTGAGATGCACCCTACTGTGAATGAACACACAAAAAACAAAGATACAGAAAATGTTGAAGACCAGATCAGGTCCAGCATGGGACCAGAATGGGGATCAGCTGACAAAGTTTTAACTTTTCAAGTTAGATTTATGTAGGTTTCTGGTGTCACATGTAAGAACTCTGTGTAATTCTAGGTTATATATTCTCCTCGATGCCTAAAAGTTTAATAGCTGTGCATTTAGATCTCTGTTCCATTTTGACTTAATTTTTAGTAAAGTACAAGGCTTTTGT